CCTCAGGGGCTGCTCCCAGCGCCGCTCATAGTACAGGTTGAGGACACTCGGGGCTCGGCGCCCGCTCTGAACTGCCCATGGGATCAACTCCGAGACCAGCACTTGCAGGCTCCTGCGGGCAGCACAGGGAAGTGAAGACAGGAGGCTTCGGGGGCGGGGGCGGGCATGCCATGAGCCCCGGTGGGTGTGCGCCTCCCAGGGCAGTCCTCACATGCTCACGTCGTTATCCCCCCACTCAAATGAGGAACCCGAAGCCACAAGTCGTGAACAGCCCAGCGCATGAGGAAGTGCCAGGCTTCCTACTCCTGAAACAATGCTAGAAACATCCAGGCTGCACTTGCTCCCCGGAGACCCGGCCAGGCCAATTTTAGCTCTCTCCATCCTCTCTCCCCCGCTTCCTGGAGAACCCCTGCCTGGCCCCCAGCCCCTGGCCCCTGGCCCCTTGAGGACTTACTGGGCACTGAGACGGATCGGTCCAAAGAGCGCACCCAGGATGCACATGGGCAGGCCCGTCTGGACAGCCTCAAACCACTTCACCACGATCTCCCCTGCGGGCAGGATGAGGAGTGGGTGGGAGGTGAGCAGAGGTCAGGAGAGGCCAGCAGTGCTCCCAGCATGGCACTGCAGGCGTCCGCTCCTCTCTGGTCTCTCCCCAGGGCCAGCTTTGCCCAGTCTGGCCATGCTGGGCCTGGGACACTTGGCTGGAGGTGGAGGGAAGGGCCCAAGGAACAGCCTGAGGGGAGAAGGGCCAGCGAGGGAGCCTCGGGTCAGAAAGCAGAGGACTCCACAGGCCAGGCAGCAGCGTGTGGACTGTTTCCCACAGGCCTCAGGGGCTGCTGAGCGCTTCCCAAGCAGGGGAGCACATGGCAGGGACCCCGGTCCCGAGCAGTTGCCATGTCTGTGTCGGAGCGTGAAGAGGCTGTGGGGCCGGAGGAGAGGACGTGCCCGGCACTGATGTGAGATGTTCAGAAGAGGCAGTACCGAGCCAGCCCTGGGCAGGGTCCCTGGCCACCCCCTACACCCCCCCACGCCCCGCCCCACCCGGCCTGGGCTCTCACCCAGCATGTTGGTGGGCATCCCCAGCAGCGTGTGCAACAGGTCGTGCACCTCCCGGTACCGCTGGATCACGTACGCCAGCTCTTCGTCATCCACGAAGCGGGTGGGTGCCCGGGTATCTGGGGAGACCCTCTGACAACCGTGAAGCTCCCCTAGACCCCTTCCCAATAGTCCCTGGGCCCCGCTGGCCAACCTCCCCTGGACTGTCCACCACTGCCACCAAGCTCACACCCTGCCCGTGGGCAGCAATGTGGAGGGCGCCCCCTCCCACGCAGGCATAGAGTATGTGGCCTGTTGAGGTTCAGGCTGAAGAAACACGGAGTGTGTGTATGGGGGGAGCAGAGGTTGGTTAATGGGGACAGAGTTTCCGCTTCACCAGAAAACCTCTGGAGATTGACAGCCATGCAAGGTCCTTACCAGCCCAGCCGCACAGTGAGAAATGGCAGATTTTGTTAGTTTTAAACTTACAATCGGAAAAAGAAAACAAAGCAGCCCCCCCCCCCCCAAAGGGGGTGGGGGGGGGGGGGGGAAAAAAAAAAACCCCTCCCCCCTTGGGGGGCCTTGGGGTGCGGTGCTCCCAGCCCAGGGTGCTCTCTCACCACCCTCAGCTTCACCTGACAATTCCTACTGATTCACCCCGCACGACCTGGTTTAACGCCGCTCCGTGTGGGCTGTCCCTGAGGATGGACCGGGCACGCGTTCCAGCCTCTGCAGCCTCCCTGCCTTTTGGGGGCACTCGACATGGCTGCCTGGGATGTCTAGTGTGGGGGATTGTCTCCTAAGCCTGCGCAGACCCCTACAGCTGCCACGGGCCTCTTGGGGTGACAAGGGGAGCCTTGCAAGGTGACAAGGGGAGCGGTGCTGCGTGTGAAAAACACATCCTCGCTGCTGGAGGCTTAGTACGAAGACAAAATGTGAAACAGACAAAACGTAAAGATATCTGCATCTCGAGATGGTCATGTGCTAAGATGTGTTCGGGTAAACAAAACAGGCCATGGAGTGAACTCCACCTGTTTCTTGTTGCTTTCACTGACGTGGCGGGCGGAGGAGCTAAATGATTTATGTGGCCTGTGTGTGTCCCGGGGGCCTGTCAGCGGCACAGGGGCTGGGCTGGCTGTTTTGCTCACTGTTGTGTCTCCAGGGTCTGGTGAGTGACCCCTAAACGCAGGGGTCTAAGGCCAGTCCCACCCACTGCCTCTCTGAGTCCTCCGTTGCACCCAGGAGTGGGTACAGCCTGGTCTTCCTGTTCCCAAAGTACAGCCACAGGCTGCGAGAGGTAGAGGCACGGGGTGTCCTCACTGTCAGGGGCTGGGCTCAGGTCTGCAGCCTCACTGGGCCCCAGGCCAGCTTTCATCAGTAGCGTCCCACCTGTGTGGGTCTGCTACGCCTAAGCAGCCTGTTCGGCCACCATTTTGTCACCTATACTTCTAAATCCCAAGCAAGGTCAAAATGGCCCGGTCAGTTAGGTACAGGAGCCCAACTCTGCAAGGTGCCCTTCAAATCAAACAAGAGCTGCTGCACAAAGCTGAAGGTGATCGGAGGGTTGGCAGCGAGTTAACTGAGTCCCTCCTGGTGCCAGCACCCCAGGACATCCCTTGCCTGTGTTCTCGTCCCTCACCCTCAGACCATCTGGGGGGATCCTGCCAGGAGCCTCTGATATAGATAAGAAAATCAAGGCTCAGAGAGCGGAAGCAGCTTGTCCCAGAGCCACTGCTGATCAGATGGCTGAGTCAGCGTTTGAAACAAAGTCGGCTGCATTCCCAAGCCAGTGGCCTAACGTCCATTATTACCAAACCCCAGAAACGCTGTGAAAGATAAATCTTAGGTCCCCTTCCCCCATATATAAGGAATCCGGGTGCAGAGGGGTCCAATGATTTACCCAGGGCCATAAAGCTGGGAAGAGAGGCAGGCCGCTCTAAACTCTAGCCCTGCCGTAATCTTGATGCCACAGGGTGACTCTCCCTGCCGTGCCAGCCTTGGGGCAGGTGCCCTCACTTTGAACCTCAATATGAATCTCTGCTGGGACAAACGTGTCTTTCACATCCTGTGGGCTGCTGGGTTCCGGGCTCCAGAAGTGGCATCAACTTAGGGCTGTCACCACAAAAAGGGCTGACTGGGCAAGGTGCCAGGGAGGTGCTGGTGGTCCCTTCCCCTCCACAGCCACAGGATGAAGGGTTCAGGGCAACTTGAGAAGCCTGTCCCTCCCTGGGTGGCACTTGGGGCAGATCACCCCAACGTGATGAAACAAGTTGGTCCTCATGAAGTCTGAGGGGGAGGGTGTGAAAGGGGGCAGGGGCAGGCGTCAGCGCAGCATGGGGGGCAGAGCGTCTCCGGGACAGTAGCTTCTAGAACAGTATTCTCAACTGTCCACCAGGGAGCATTTGCAAAGTCTGGGGACATCTGTGGCGGCACAGCTTAGTGGCTGAGTGTTACTCAACCTACTGGCCAGGCTGGGTAGGTAGGGGCCAGGGAAGCTGCTCAACATCCTTCAGGGCACAGAACAGCTCCCACAATCGAGCATTATCTGGCCCAAAATGTCATCAGTGTCAGGGTTGAAAAACCCTGTTCTAAAGCAACTTCCACGCATCCTTCGCCTCCTCCAGCCTGGTGGCTCCTGCAGCTGGGCTGGGCCACCGCTTGTCATGGGTGTGTATGTGCGGGGAGTGTGAAGGGGTCCAGCTGTACCCCAAATCCTTTAATAAATTAGATCACATTACTGTCCTGCTCGGAACCCTCCTGGATTTCCTAGTGCTTCTATGACAAAATACAGACCCTTTTCCGCGGCTGCAGGCTCTGGCCCGGCTGACCTTCCAGCCCATTGGCTGCCCCCACCCCCAGCGCACACCTCTAGGCGTGTTGTCCTTAAGCACAGCCTGGCACTGGCGGGAATATTCCTCCTTGCTCTCCTCAGGGCAGGCTCCTCTCTTCTCCCAGGTCTCCTCAGTGGGGCCTCTCCTGACCACCCTGGGAGAAGCGGCCAAGCTCCCACCCCGCCCTTGTCCTGATCACGCTGGCCGGCCTCACCATCTGCTTGATGGATGCGCCACACGGGCAGGCTCTTTGCTGGTTTTATTCCCTGCGTACCAATCATTCTGGCACGTTTTAATTACTGCTAGTATTCTGCCTGAATCCTCATGTGAATTTTCTTATTTTACAGCTTTAATGTCTGCCTCCCTGACTAGAGAATGAGCGCTGTGAGGGCAGGGGCTATCTGGCTAGTGGTTTAGTTCCCCAGCACCTGGAACAACAGCCAGCACAGCACAGGGCAGGCGCTCAACAAAAGGAGTCCCTGAGGAGCTGGGGTTCCCCACCCCAGCCACTATCCTTCCTGCCTTGGGCTGGAGAGTGCCAGTTTTGCCATAGCCAAGAGAGAGAAACACTGTCCCCGGAATAGGGGGACAGAGTGCACCAGCAGTTAAGAACATGATCTGGGTTTGCCTCCATGAACACTGGCTGTGTGAAAGCAGCAAGTTGCTTAACTGCACGGAGTAAGCCTTCTCCTCCATGAAAAGGGGATAATAATAGAACAGACTTGATAGCATGGTTGGAGGCATCTGGCCTGCAGTAAGGGGTTAATAAATGCTGGCCAATATAGTTGATAAAAACGATGTTCACAGCCCATCTGCCTGACCCAAGGAAAATGACAAAGCCTTGGCACAGAGGCTGACAAGCACTCCTGTCCCTGGTGGCAGTCCAGACTCCTCTCTGCCCTTCCTGGTGACCGCAGATGTGCAAAAGCTGGAAACTCACATTCTCATGCAGGAAACGGAGATACTCGCGGCCCAGGGAGCCCTGAGGCAGGCTCTGGAGCTGGCCTAGGTCGAGGGTGGACAGTGAGATCCGGGGGCGTTCCCTGTAGGCAGAAGGGGCACTCAGGTATTGGGAGGGGGCAGAAGAAGCAGGCAGAAGGTCTAGCTAGAGCAAGGCTGCGAGAGGTGAAGGAGTAGCAAGGAAGCCGCAAGCCCTAATGGGACGCCTGTTACTAGCAGGCCGGCGGCAGGAACTGAGCAGATGAGCATGAACTGAGGACATGGCTCCTGCTAGCAGGGCATGTGGTCAGGGTAGTCAGAGGGCACTGCCATGGGGGTGGGAGGTACAGCTAGTACATGTTATAGGAGCTCGGTGAAGGCACAAAGCTCTGTGGAGGCCACTGCATAGCACTACCCAGGGGTTGTCATGCTGTCTATGTGGATGGCACCAGTGGAGCTGGGCAGTGCCCAGTCCCCTGTGCCAAAGTATCAGGATGAGCTCCCTAAGGGAAAGAGTCTGATACAATATGACTCTAGAGAGAGCAGGATCCTAGAGAATGCCCCCAAGCTCCAGGCAGGGCTGGCACCTACTGCAGGATCTGGGCACCCTCTGGATCCCTCCTCATCTGGTCTCTGAGGAGCTTCAGGGCACGGAGTCCAGTGGTCTCCCCTAGAACTGCAACCATGTCTGAAAGGAAAGAAATGGGGACAGGTGGAGGATATGATCCCTCATAAGTTTCCTACCCGACAAAACAGGGATAATGTCCACCTTCACTATGAGGATTCACTCCACACACATAGCAAATCAGACCTCCCAGGGCTCAATATAATCATAGTTATTATTACTGCTGATCTCTCTGGATAAGGTGGCTCTGGCTAGCAGTGTGCTAAGGGGTTTGTAAATCAGAATATCACATCTCTATCAACAAGTACAGGCTTTGGCATCAGTGTTGGGTTGAGCCCAGGTGCAATCATTATCTAGGTGACCTTGCACCAACTTCTTCGCCTTTCCAACTTCTTCAGTGTTCTATGGGGTTAATGTGCAAACTCAACATCACACATACAAAACAGAGCAGTGAGCAGCCAAAAGGAGTGCTTAGTGAGCGCTTTATATGACCATTTTTAATAGGAGCAAAGCTAGAGAATACCAGGATGTTCCATTCATACCTCAGCAAGCATCTATGGAACATATATAAGGTATCAGGCAAAATCCCATGTGCCGCGGACACAGTGGGACATGGTCTCTGACTTCAAAGTTTAATTTCCAGTGGGATGTTATCATTTGATGGGTGCTTACGAATCATCTGTTTAGTACAGAGGTTCTCAATGTGGCCGGATGACAGAATCTGCCGGAAAGTAGTTTAAAAAGGCAGGAGCTCAGATCCACGGTCCTTCCTCCCCCCTCCCCAGGCCGGCGAATTGGGATTGAGTGAGTTTAGAATGGAACCCGCGGCTGGCATTTCCATGAGCACAGCGGGTGCCGCAGAAGTGCCGCCAGCCGGGGCGCCCAGACCTGGCCTACTCTGCAGACACCCACGGGAAACGGGCTTTGACAGAGGTCGGGAGCGGCCCAGTCTTCGAGGCCAGGGCGTGCCCGGAGCCCTGGCTTCCCCAACGCGGCGGCCGGGCGCCGGTGGCTTTACCGTGGCGATACGGGTCGCAGAGCGCCATTCCCGCGGAGCCGGCGGCCAGCAGCGCCTTCTGCAGCGGGGAGGTGGGGATGTGCTCGGGGTAGAGCAGGCCGGCGCCTCGGCTGGCGGCGCGGAGCGGCGCGTCTGCGGGGCAAGAAGAAGGCGGGGGTCAAAGGCGCCCGGCGCCCCCAGCCCTCCCCCCAAGCCGCGGCCACTCGCCTGCAGCCGGCCCCGGGCGGCCCCGGAGGGGGCGGAAGGGGCGCAGGGCCCGGCGCAGCAGCGTCGCCATGGCAGCCGGCGCTCGGCGAGTCAGCTGGGGCGCAGGCGCCGCGAGGGTGACGTCCCGACTGCGCTGGCGACGAAGCGCCGGAGGCACCAAAAGGGCTCGCGCTGTACTCCGCGGAGCGGGCGCTTTGGAGGGGGGAAGTCGTGGCCGGGCAGGCAAGGGCGCTTTCGCTCAGTGTGAGAAGGCGACCTGTGCCTCATCGGCTCCATCGATATAACATTCTCCCATTGCCCAGAAACGGGCTCCAAAAGGACGTACAAGCGCCGCTTACTTTGGGGCTCGGCGCCGGACCCTACTTCCTTCTCCCCAGCATGTTTTCCCCCGAGGACAATAAGACGGGACCCTCTTCCGGCGGGGGCAGCATGGCGGCGCCCATAGTAGGTACCACATTGGGGGTAGGACCGTACGGCACTTCCGTGCAGGTCCAGCTTTAACACGGGCGCCGGCCGCGGGCTCGGGGCATGGGGTCCGCCTGCCTGGCGCGACTTCACGGGCTCTTCGCGACCTACAAGCCCCCGGGACTAAAATGGGAGCACGTGCGGGATACCGTGGAGCTGCAGCTTCTGAAGGGTGAGAGCCTCGAACCAGGCGCGCCATCCCGCGCCGCTTCTCGGCCGTTCTGGGAAATAAAGTCACGTGACCAGGTCTCCGGGACTGGACGTTTTGCTAATCCTCCGTTTCTCAATCTCCGTTGCTCCTCGCTTGCTCCTGTGCTCAGGCTGGTAAACAGACTCAGTATTGCTCGTTGTCATAAGCAGCTGAGTCAGGATCTGAACCCGGGTCTGTTTTCTGACCGCTGCGGGCTGGCGTCTGTCGTCAGCCTCTCCAGGCCCTCCCTGGAGTGTGGAGTGCGGCCCCCCGGTGTTCAGACGCGATGTTCTCTACCTGTGTGTGCTCAGGTCTCAATGCTGGGAAGCCTCCTGCCCCTAAACAGCGTGTTCGGTTTTTGCTGGGCCCTGTGGAAGGCAGCGAAGAGAAGGAGCTGACCCTCACGGCCACCAGCGTGCCCAGCCTCACCGACCATCCCCTGGGTAAGGCACATTTAGGCAGGGAGGGGGTGCCACGACCCGGGAAGTCACAGCCCAGAGTGAGTGTCGGTGCTCATGCTCCACTGTCCCGGTGCTGAAGGGTCACAGTGGGCCTGAAGTATTTGACCAGGGACTGGGCCTATTTTCCTGGAAAGAGCCAGATAGTAAAGTATTTGAGACTTTGTAGTATCTTAGACCACGTGATTTCTGTTGCAGTTGCTAAATTCTGTCATGGTCCCACAAAAACAACTGTAGCCAATATTAGTGAGCTATAATAAAGCTTTATTTATGTCATTATTACTGATATTTCTGTATTTCATGTAATTTTCATACAGCACTAGGTATACTCTGAATATTCTCTGAATCACTGAAAAGGCATTAAAAAAAATACATCTTAACTCATGGACCACAAAGAAAAAAAACGCTGATTTTGGTTTGGGATTCAGCCTGTGGACTGACTCCTTCGCTATTTTGGGAGTGACTGTGGGAAGCCTCTCACACGAAGGAGGGTGTGGGTGGGGAGGGTGATTGCCAGGGTAATCTGGGGTTGCCCTTTCTCTAGGCTCAGGGAACTGAGGAAATATTCTAGACCCCAGATTCCATGATGGGGAAGCCTGTGAGTCCCTGTTTTGGACTCTTAAGATGCTACATTCTAGGAATGAGGTCCCTGTACAGCCCAGAGCCATCCTGGAACTGGATTTGTTGAGGAAAGGAGCCTTTGTCTCTTTCCAGTACGTGGACCAGCATTCACCCACCTGAAGATTGGTGTGGGACACCGGCTGGATGCCCAGGCTTCAGGGGTGCTTGGTAGGTGATGTGGTGAGCCTGGGGAGGGAGACAGATAGGGGCTTGGGGGAAGATCGGGCAACTCCCAGGAGCCCAGTCCCCTTCTAAGCCGACAGCCACTTCACACCACTGTCCTCCCTGAATCCGGTCCAGGTCTGAGATGACTGGTGGGTGCCACCTGCATCCAGTGAGTCATGCATCTCACAGGTGGGAAGCCCTCTGGGGCACGTACTCACCGCAGCTACTCCCTAGGTAGATGATGTTGATTTCATGGATGAAGGAAATAAGGCTCAAGAGCTTAGAGGACGTGTCCTGGGTCGCGTGGCTAGTGAATGCCCCTGGTGCAGAGAGGGAAAACTCATTACCCGTGTGGGGTAACCAACTGCGTGACTCTGGCCTATTAGCCAGGGTCTGGCTGTCGCTAGGTCTGGACACACAAAGCCCCGAGTCATGAGCCATCTGTGTCCCAGGGTCAGGCGGAGGTCACATCCTGCCTGTGCGACACTCAGTCCTCTTGTCTCGCTTCCGGGGACACAGCCGCCAGACGTGAGCTCATGCCTCCGCTCCACTCCCCTCCCTGAGTGCATGGAGGCTGGGGAATGGCAGGCAGGGCCCTGTCTGGAGGGCCCTTCCTTTGTGCTGACTGTACAAGCTCAGCCTTGGCCACACCCAGGGGGGTCAGACAGGACTTTTCTCCCACTTTGCTGATGGGGCACCTGAGGCCCGGGGAGGATGTAGGACATACTTAGTGCCACCCGGCAGAGACGAAAGGCTCTGACTTGCATGCTTCAATGTCCCCCGGGAGGCTTGCTAAGGACCCCAGCCCCCGCCCCAGCTATGGGTAGGCCCAGCCGCCTGCTTATGCATATATGTGCCGCCAGCCCTTAGAAGAGGCCCTCCTTGTCCTCTTGCGGCCTCCGAAGTGTGGGAGATGGGGGTGGGGATGGGGACGGGGGCGGGGGAGGGAGGAGGGGGAGCCAGGTGTGAGCTGAGGCTGGTGCCTTTCAGTGCTCGGCGTGGGACGTGGACGCAGGCTCCTCACCGACATGTACAACGCTCACCTCACCAAGGTACAGGGCCTGGGGGCCGGCCGGCTGCCTGTCCTTTGGGTCTCCCTGGGGGTCCCCGCAGGATTCTGAAACGGGTCATCCGCAAGCTTAATAACGGCCGTGTGCTAGAGGAGGCGGACGGTCACAGACTAGTGACTGTCAGCGTGTTTGCCTTCAGACCCCTGTGTGGAGGCCGCACGGCGCCCCTGTGAGTGGGCCTGTTGCCAGTCCATTTCACAGACGAGCTCACTGAGGCACGGATGAGGGGTCGCTTGCTGAGGGGCAGGCCTGGTATTTGAACCTGGATCCATCCAGCCGCAGAAGCTGGTCAGGACATTCCTCCATTCTCTCCCTGAGACTGGATGGGGACGGCAGCTCGGGGCCAGGGAGCTGGCGCCCAGGCCGGGCTGTGGAGCTTGCCCCGCGCGCATGTGTGGGAGCCTCTCCCGAGGCCCTTGTTCTTCGTGGCACAAGTGCAAAGCCAGGTGGCTTCCACTCAAAACCCAGCTTCTGCCGTCTGGCCCGGGGTGGCTCGCTCACCACTTCTGTGCCTACGTTCCTTCTTTCACACGGGAGTGGGGAGAGTCTCTCCTCTGTAGAGTCACTTTGGAGATTAAATTTGTGGCCACGCGTAAGACATGAGCACAGTCACTGGCACGGGGTAAAGGCCCAGTGTCCCTGTCCTTGGCTTGCTGTTGTCATCACTGTCCCGGCTAGGGCAGAGCAGTTAGCCCCACGGGTGCATTCAGCGGATGGGCAGGGCGTGCCAGGAGGGCCCAGCACGGTGAGGCTCACGGCAGTGGCGGCATAGGTGGCCGGGGGTGGCCGTCAGCACTGCAGCCGGCTGCCAGGGGCTATTCCTGGGACAGTCTAGGGTCCTTCCCCAGAGGCAGTGGGACAGGGCTGAGCCCAGAGCTCCCTGGGGGAGACCCTACAGCCCTCACCCCGGCAGCAGCATAGCACCGCATGGGTGTGAGGCTTGGGGGGGCCCTGACCACCTCTCCCCCTGTCCTGGCAGGACTACACGGTGCGTGGCCTCCTGGGCAAAGCCACCGATGACTTCTGTGAGGACGGGCGGCTGCTGGAGAAGACGACCTACGGTGAGCGTGTGTGGGCTGGGCCTGGCCACTGTCCCCGTGTCGCCTCACTCCTCGGCCACGCTCAGATGCGCCACGCTCAGGCTGGCCACGGGGGACTGTCCTCCAGGAACACTCTGGGCTCCCCCCATTGCCTTCTCATTTGGCTAACATGTCTCTGCCCGGGAAAGCTTCTCCACCCCCTGCTTGGACTGATGGGCTCTCAGAAAGCAATGAACTAGCGATGATATAAACGGGTCCCCCCAGCCCATCACCCCTGAGGGCAGGACTGCTTGGCTCCACTCCTGTGGTCACACAGCTCAGGGTCCTGGAGGTGGGAGGTGCTTGTGGGCATGGATGGGTGGGGGGTAGATGGGAGATGGACTGATGGGTGGGTGGGGGTGGATAGAAAGATGGTTGGGGGGATGGGAGTGAATGGGCGGGTGCGTGGTGGGCAGGGGAGGGATAGATGGGGGTGGATGGGTGGGGGTGAATGGCTAGCGGATGAGTAGGTGATGGATGGTTGGCTTCCTCCACTCACTCCATGTTCTGTGGGACCCCAGAGGATCTACCGCTTTTACGTGGTTGACACGTTTTTTGAGTACCGGCCGAGCGCCAGGCTCTGGGGACAACACACAGCGAGTCAGGTGGGGTCTCGGTGAGCTCACAGCCTATCGGGGAGAACACACACTCCTTTGCGTCCTCTGTGGGAAATTTAAAACGTGTCAAACAACACTAGGTGCTTGTGCACATAGGTCTGTGTCCACATCCAGAGAATGTCTAAGAACAACCACCATGTCACGTTTCTGGGAGGGAGGAAGCAGAATTTGGAGGAGGGGAAATGTTGTGGGTGCTGATCTCAATTTCTTAAGCTTTCTATATCAATTATATAATAAAAGAATTACATAAAAGTCAAAGAGAATTAGGTGCTGGGAAAGACACCCAGCACCTAAAGACCCCCAGGTGCAGAGTGGCGGGCAGGAGGGAAAAGCCACATGCTCAGGAGGGCTTCCTGGAGGAAGTGGCATATGCTCTGGGCTATAAATTGGGGGCAGGTGGGAGTGGGGAGAAGGCAGCAGCAGGTACATTCCAGGTAACGCCATGAGTGAAACCAGACACAAGGGGTGAGCGACCTAGGCCTTCTGACCAGGCAATCCTCAGTCACCACAGCTGCCCCTGGCGCTCTGGCATCCGTGCCCCTGGGCCCTCAGATCAGCTGGCCTCCCAGCAGAGCTTGCTCGTGTCCCCAGGCTTTGCTGCGGGCTGACCCATCGTCACTCCATGGGGCCGGCAGGCAGAGCCCTCCCACTCCTGCCGCCTGTTTCTCTGTTCAGAGAGATGGCATCCTCCCTCCTGCGGACCCTTGCAAAAAAGCCCCACTCTGGGGCTCAGGACATCTGACACAGCCTGTTGCACAGTCACATTATGTCTTTGAGCCTCCAGAGGGTTTTTTTGTTTGTTTGTTTTTTCCCCCTGTGGTAATGTTACAACACTGTACAGGTGCCAGGAGTATGATTTTCTCAGCACGCCCACCACCAAATGTCCACTCACCAGCTACCACCTAACCAGCGGCTCCTCCCGCTCCTGTCCCCTGTCCCTCTGGCCACCACCTTTCTATTGTCAGAGGCGATGGGTTTGTTTTGTCTTTGTTTTCTTTATATTCCACAAGAATAGTGGAATCATTTGGTGTTTGTCTTTGTCCTGGCTTGTTTCACGTCGCATCATCTCCAGGCCCATCCTCATCACAACTGGCAGGGTGTCATCTTTTTGACAGCTGAGTAGTACTCCAGCGCAGGTGTGCACCGCGCCCTCTGCGAGCGTGCCTCTGTCGATGGGTACTTGAGCCGTCTTCATACCTTGGCCTTTGTGAATGAACGTAAGGGGACATATGTCTTTGGAAGTTAGTGTTCTCATAGTCCAGAAGAGGTTCTTGGCCTGGAGTCTGTGAGCCCCTTGAAAATGTCCTCAGGATATTGAGTTTCTGGGTATCGTGTGAAAAGAGACGCCAGTGTCTTAACAGTAGTCCACCCCATGACGGGAAGCCTAGGGCCTGGGGGTGTCCTGCAGCCCCTTCCAGGTTCCAAGGATGAGGCTGGCTCGGGGGAGGGGAGTTTGCCAGTTTGTCACTCATCCTCAGCGGGCACCTCTGTGCCTCCCCTCCCCTGCTCTCCAGACCATGTGACCAGAGAGAAGCTGGATCGAATCTTGGCTCTGATCCAAGGCTCCCATCAGAAGGCCCTGGTGATGTAAGTGGGGCCTGACCTACACCTCCCTGAAAGGGGCTCTCAAGTTGGTGCCAGAAGAGCAAGAAGTGCCCACAGGCTCCTGTGGGCTCTGCCCACCTGGATAATTCCACAGGTCCTCAGAGCCCGGGACCAGACTTGAGCCAGGCGCCCCTGCCACAGCCTACAGAGGAGTTTCTGTATGTGGGTCTTAGGCCAGCGCCTGGGGAGGCCGAGGGGAACCAGAGACCCCGGCTGTCCTAAGGGGCCTGGGAGCCAGGGCGGGGGCTCTGAGCCAGGGTCTGGCACCTCGTAGCGCACGGAGCTGGGAGTAGTCAGCATGTGTGGGACTGCTGAAACCAGGAAAGGGCAGAGGAGGGCACAGCCTGCCGTGGGCACAGGTGAGAAGGCTGCTGCAGTGGGGGCTGGAGGGGCAGGAAGATGGAAAGCGAATGATGAGCTTTAAGAGTAGGGGCAGGGCCAGAGCGGGCAGGGCCGAGCTCCCCGCCTGCACCAGCCTCTCACCTCACCCCTCCCGATCCCCAGGTACTCCAACCTCGACTTGCAGACCCAGGAGGCCTATGAGATGGCCGTGAGGGGCCTGATCCGGCCCATGAGCCCATCCCCGATGCTGGTCACCGGCATCCGCTGCCTCCACTTTGCACCTCCAGAATTCCTCTTAGGTAAGTAAGCTGCTGGGGAAGTAGGGGCTGTGCGGTGGGTCCCAGGGTTTGGGGAGTTGCAGCGGAAAGCCCAGGCAGGGGCTGGCACCTGCCAGTGCTGTGCTGTCCACCACAGCCCTGCGGCCTCTGCCTTTCCAGCCTGGGACCAGTCCGGCCGCCAGGAGCCCATTGAGCAGATGTCACCAGGTCACCCCTTAAAGCCGGACCTCGACGAAGTTATACTTGCCGGCTTGCTTCCAGGCCTGCCCCGTTTCCAGCTGTCGTGGGCCCTTGGGCGCCAACCACTCACGCTCCCAGTCCTGCCCAGTGCAGCCCCCCATTAGCTCTGTCCTTTTGTCTGCTCCCCGCCACCGCATTCATCCCTGTTGGATGTCTGTGAGGGCGAGGGCTCCTTTTCTGGAGCCTTCTGACGCTGAGCACCTGGTGCAAATCCTTTGTTACTGCTCACAAGCGCCCAATTCACAGATGAGTAAGCCAAGTCTTAGAACTGGGCTTCTCAAACTTTAACTCACCCACAAAGCAGGTATCTTTTTAAAAGGCGAGTTCTGACTCAGCAGGTCTGGGTGGCGCTGAGCCGGCATGTCTGACCAACTTTCGAGGGGTGCTCGCAGGCTGGCCTTGGGCTGCACTTTGATCAGCAAGCCCTGTGCACAGAGGCTTCTTGCTATGGCTCTTTCAGCCCAGAGATGTCGGTGGGGTGGGGATGGGCTTTAGCCCCCTGGGCCTGTGGCGGGCGCTCACCACCGTCTGTGCTGTGTCTGCAGAGGTGCAGTGCGTGCACGAGACACAGAAGCAGCTGCGGAGGCTGGTGCATGAGATTGGCCTGGAGCTGAAGAGCAGCGCCGTGTGCACCCAGGTGCGGCGGACGCGTGACGGCTTCTTCACACTGGACGATGCCCTGCTGAGGACGCGGTGGGATGTGCACAGCATCCAGGATGCCATCCAGGCTGCAGCCCCCCGGGTGGCAGCGGGGCTGGAGAAGAGCTTGAAGCCTGGGCTGGTTGCCCAGCGGCTCCCCAGGCTAGATCAGCCCCAGGACTCTGAGGGGTCCAGCTCGGCCCTGGGACAGGACAGCTCTCCTGGGCCAGGCCGGGCCGGGTGACCGTGCAGGAGAGCAGGGGAAGCGTTCCTGCACGGGGCATAAAACTGAAACAGGAAGACTGACAGGCTCGGCCCAATCGAAAAGGAAAAACTTCTGGGTGGAAGAAAGGACAATCAAGAAGGGACAGATTGATAAAAATACCGGCAGCGTCTCATGTCCATCAGGCAGGCACAGCTCGTGAGACAGCAGGGGAAACTGACAAAATCAGGCAAAGGACCCGAATTGTGTGTACTGTCCTGTGTATTTTCCCTCACACGTCACATGGCCAGGAGACCAGGAATGTTGATGCTCAACCCCTCCAGTAACACAGGGCATCCAGGTGAAGTGTCTCTGCCTTTCAGCACAGGGGTCGGCACGTCCGGTGGTGGGTGAGCCTCACCCTTTGTGATGTCGGCATCTCCCCAGCCAGGTTAAGTAGTTTGCTGGCTGCATTTATGTAACAATATAGGTCACCATTTCTCCCTCTCTGCCTACCAGGTAAGGGTGCCCCTTCCTCCAGGCCCTGTGGGGGTGACCAGAGATCCAGGGCTCCCTTGAGAAAGGCTCTGACCTCTTCTCCCCTTGAGCACTGGGCTTCTGTGCATTGGGCAAATTTGCCACTAGGATGGGGCACCTTTCCCTTGGGCCTGAGTTCCTGCCAGTGTATTCAACATTCACTCAACAAATGTTTATTTGGTGCCCACTATTTGTCAGATGTTGTAAGAGCTCATCGTACATCAGTCCAGAGGACTGTCCACATACCCACGGCGGGGCGGGGGGTGGGGGCGGCTTAAATAGGGCAGTCTGACCTCCCTGGTGGTGCAAGGGGTTAAGCACCGCACCATGAAGCAATCCGCAGCCTCTGCAGCAAGAGTTCGATTCCCAGCCAGCCAGGGAGCAACACACATGGCACAGCAGACCCCTCCTGTCGTGCCCGCTGGTCCCCTCAGCAGTGTATTTCAGTCAGTCTGACTGTTCTGTTCCCGCTCTTCTGGTCTCTGGTGCAGAGCCCCCACATCTCTGGCCTGTACCCCAGCTCTTGTATGCATAAATAAATAAAATCTTTTATAAAAACCAAGTAAATAGGGCAGTCTGAGAAGGATCGCATGAATGGAGGAGGCAGGCATCCAGCCAGGAGATTATCTGGAGAAAGAAGCCTTGAAGGTGAAGGGAAGAGCCAGCTCCGCTCAAAGGGCATCTGACTTACCGAGGACGGGCTAGTGTTCAGCGTCACTGGCTGGCCTCGCGCCAGTAGAAGAGACGCACCTGAGGGTTTTTCTATCTGAGGCGTGTCCCCTGTTTTCAGGAAGTAGGACTGTGGGCCCCTTGCAACTGACTCAGTTTTACCTCTTCTTTTCCAATGTGGGTTCCTTCTTACTACTTTTTCTTGCTTAATTGCCCTGGCTAGGACGTCTAATAAATCATGCCGCTTACTTCTTCTTTTTTTTTTTTTTTAAAGGGAAATGCAACCTTTTTTTTTTTTTATGATTTTTTTTTTTTTTTAAGATTTATTTATTTATTTATACAAGCACTGGGTACAGTCAGAAGCGTGGGAGGGTGAGAGAATTCACCAGAGCCAGAGCAGGGAGCAGAACAGGCTGAAGGACCAAGGTACACTGCTGAGGGGAGCAGCGGGCGGCAGGAGAGGTCTGCGCCCATGTGGGACCCTCCTCTGGTGGCCGGGGAGCAGCCGGGGATTGAACCGGCGCTGCAGAGGCTGCGGCCAACTTCGCAACCCTGCACTCAACTGCTGCGCCACCGGGGAGGCCCTTACTTCTTTTCTAAGTTGGATGCCTTGTCTCTGACTCAGAATCCAGTGGGGCAGGACCCTGGACAGAGATCTGAACCCTGGTAGTATCATCTGTGCATTTTATTAACCTCACAGGGTGAAGAGTCAGCATGACCGGTGTTTGTTCCTTCAGAGAGGCTGCTTCTCTCGGGCACTTACACCGCCGACTTCAATAGAAGGTAGAAATTGGCTGCTGCACTATTTTCCTGAAAGACTGTGCGAAGCCATCACTGTTTTTCCCAGGGCTGGCCTCGGCGGTCAGCTTCCAGGTGGCTGAAGGGAAGATGATGGTGGCGCAGCCGCTGTTTGCTGAAGGTTTCTGATGGGCCTTCCGTTCACCGTCTCAGCTGCTTCCGCTGCCACCGGTGTGCAGGGTTTTATGACAGCCCGCCTTATGCTCGAGGGATATGTTCCAAGACCCCCCGTAATGCCTGACCTGCTGGTAGCACTAGTATGTTTGCTGCTTTTTTCTTATGCATACATACCCGTGACAAAGTTTATAAATTAGATGCAGGAAGAGTCACAACTACTGATAAAATAGAACAAATGTAAAAATACACTGTAAGGAGAGCTACGTGAAAGTGGTCTGTTTCCCAAATATGTCATATTTCACACTGTTTCACTGTGTGTCATATTTTCAGACCACAGTTAACCACGGAAACAGAAGCCTCAAAAAGCGAAACTGTGGCTAAGCGGCGGGGTGGGGAATGACTGTACCTCCAATTTCAGGGTGAGGAAAGCCGCTCGGGAGAGATAACCCGCCTCACAGAGAGCACACACATTTCAGTAGGACCCTACCCCTCTGGTTTCCCGGCGGGCAGTTGCTCAAGATGTCCCTTTAAACTCAGGCCTCCCGCATCTCTGCCCCGGGCAGAACACAGACCTCAGTACCACGGTCCCGCTGCCAGCTGGGCTGAGCCCACACCGCCCACCTGTGCTTACTCAAGCGCGGTCACTGCCCAGGGCAACCACCTCCTCTTGTTTAGCAGCTCTCAGCCTCTTCCTGTCACCCCCCTCACGTACCCCCCTCCCTCACACCTAAATTCCCAGGGCATTTCATCCCCATTTTACAGATGGGGAAACCGAGGCACCAAAGAGGAACTATTTGCTTGGGCTTCACAGCCAGTCGATGGTAGACTCAAGGTTTGATGGTAGACTCAAGGTTTGAACTCCGTAGTTTGGCTTTGAACCTTCTGCTCTTAATCTCTTTGCCCATGACCTCTCTACCTTGACACTGACCTGAACTCTGCCCAACCCAACTTTGCCCTGGGTGTATCCCCAGCCAGATCTACTGAGACCTTGGAGTCAGGGGAGATAATGGTAATCCGGTCCCATCTTAGCTGGGCCTCAGGTGGGAAGCACATACCCAGGAACCCTCCCTTTTCATAGGTGCTTCTGGGAAACGGCTACTTTAAGAGAAATGCGATAGCAAAGCCAGGTTCCTTGCAGGCATCCCAGTTCTTTTTGCCATTGACCTATCTCTGCATGTGGAAAATTCAGAACAGAGTCAGCAATGGTAGAATCCCTGGGATCCAGTCCAGAGATGGGGAAGCCTGGGTGGGGGCAGAGGTTTGCAAATCTCAGTTCCTTGGAAAAATTAGATAACTGGCACTCAGGGTACACAGGCTTGCACACCATCCCATCTGGGTCCTTAATGGCAAAGAGATTATAAAAGAGGGCTCAGTGTGGCTGATCATGATCTCCTGATTGCCCTAGAGGAGGGGGGTGGGGGGGAACCCTGAGTCACAGCTAAAATATTTAGTCAATATGCAGCCTCTCTGCTGAGAAAACCACCCTAAATCCCTTGGGATCAATCGTTTTCCTTAGTGGGTATCTTTAACCCCAAAGAACTAATGATTGCTAAGTTATACCAAATGTATGATAAGCCACATGAGATTTATAATTTGAGTTGAGCTTTAAAATTTATTTATTTATACAAGCACTGGGTACAGTCAGAAGTGCAGGAGGGTGAGAGAATTCACCAGAACCAGAGTGGGGAACAGAACAGGCAGACTGACGAAATACACTGCTAAGGGGAGCAGTGGGCACGGCAGGAGAGGTCTGTGCGCCATGTGGGACCCTCGCCCGGGGGCCGGGGATCAAACCGGCGCTGCAGAGGCTGCGGGCAGCCTCACAGCCCAGAGCTCAACCACTGCGCCACCAGGGGAGGCCCGAGCTTTAAAATTTAAATTTAGCTATTGAGTTAATCATTTTAAGAAATATTTTTAGGGCCTCCCTGGTGGTGCAAGGGGTTAAATCTCAGCACTATGAAGCTATTGGCAGCCACTGCAGCATGAGTTTGATCCCCAGTCAGGGAGCTGCCCCACAGGCCACAGAAGACCTCTCCTGTCTCCCCGCTGCTCCCCTCAGCAGTGTATTTCAGCAGATCCACCTGTTCTGCTCTCCACTCTGTGTCTGGTGAATCCTCTAACCCCCCCACACCTCTTGCCTACACTCCAGCTCTTGTATACATAAATAAATAAAATAAATCTTAAAAAAACAAAGAAAGAAAATGAACAGTCCTTACTGCCCAGCAAACTACCCTTGAGCACCAGAATCTTCACCCACAAACTCACAGGCCTCCAGGTCTGCCTGCCTGGGAGATGTGGGTACCCTGTGGGTGTGGGAAGGTAACCTGATGCCTATGTGTCTGGCTTTGGCTTGGATAGGACTGGGTGTGAACCTGCACTTGCCCTTTTACTGGTGGGTAATTCATCAGCCTACCAATCTGTAAAAATGGGGCTTAAAGTGGCTCCAACTTGACCTTCTCTGATTCAGAACTGCCCACGTATTGTATTCATTTATTTATTTATTGTGCCCACGTATTAATCATTCTGCTCTGGAGCTGGGCACTTAGCATCAAAGCCCAGACAAGGTCCATATTCTCAAGGAGTTTCTATCACAGGAGGATCAGGTAAGACCCTGGGAAAGATGAGCCCTTGGGAGAAGATCAGGCAGGGTGGGTGCAGCAGAGACTGGGAGCTGCTTTCGCCTGGGAATCTAGGAGGGCCTCTCTGAGACGGTGACATAGAAGCTGAGACCTGGACAGCAGAGCAGTCCATGCGGACATCAGGGGCAAAGTTTTCTAGATAGAAACACAGATCAAGGCCCACAAGTGGTGTGGCCAGCCCAGAGTGGGCAAAAGGGGAGAAGGCTAAGGGTGAAGAAGGGCTAAGGGCCAAGGCCAGACATTCCTACTGGGGTTCAGTGTTGGGCAGACCTAGATGTTGAGGGGCCTGAGGTTCATAGGAGTTGGGAGTTATTAGCTTCTAGTAAACCCACCGGGCGGAGCAGTAACAGTAGGTGTCAGATGGAAGAGAGTGACGTGTTTTTATGCCATGACTTTTCTTTCTTTCCAATTTCTTTAATTTTGACACAGGTGACAAAAACATGGCTAAAGGCTGAAGACAGATGCCAAGTGACAGGCAAATCCACATGACTGCATTTATCTGTGGGCCCTACAGTCATCCATGCATAGGTGAGACATGCAATGGTGGTTGGGGGTTGGGGAGTTGGGGAGTCAGTGTGTAATGGAGACAGGGATTCCTCTTGGGTAAATGTGTATTTTACCAAAGTAACTCAAACAGAGAAACAAAAACCTGTTAAAATAAAAAGCATAGCAGGCCTCCCTGGTGGTGCAGGGGTTAAGCACAGCACTGTGAAGCTGTCCACAGCCTCTGTAGCACTGAGTTTGATCCCCCAGCCAGCCAGGGAGCTACCCACAGGGCGCAGCAGACCTCTCCTGTCTCACCTGCTGCTCCCCTCAGCAGTGGATTTCAGTAAAATCCTTCTGTTCTGCTCCCCACTCTGTCTCTGGGGAATTCTCTCACCCCCTGCACCTCTGGCCTACACCCTGACAGATCCCGAGCCTACCTCCTTATCTCCCTCACCCTGCTCTTCCCACAGACTTCCTCATTCCTGATTACCACAACCCTTCCAGGCACTCAGGTCAAAATCCCAGCTGGTTCCCTTTTCCTCACAGCCCTTGTCCAGCAGCAAGCTCTACCTTCCAGAATCTACCACTTCCCAACACTCACCTGCTTCCACCTTATATCCTATCCCCAGCCCCAGAGGGCAGAGGAATTTAGTGAAGACATGTCAGATCTGGCTACTTTTCTGCTCAGAGCACTCGACAGCTTCCCAGCTCACCCAGGAAGGCAGCCAAGTTCTGCTGCTGCTGGAGAGGCCCCACGGCCGCCCGTTCCTCTCTGCCTTTTCTTCCTTCTCCTCTCCTTCCACCTTCACTTGGCTGGTCCACACTGATTTCCACACTTTCTGGAATACTGACTGCAGTTTTAGGGCTGTCTCCTTGCTGTTCCCCTGCCCAGGCCCCGCCCCCCCCCCCCCCCCCACTGCAGGGATCTTGCTTGCATCCCTAGAGTGTAGAACCATGCCTGAAAAAGGCTTCTCGAATCAAAGAAAGAATGAATGAGTGACTGACTGATGCCCTAGAACGTTGCCCCATTAAAGTCCCACTTGAAGCTGCAAGGCCCTTGCGTCCCCTGGGGACCAGGAACGTGCTTAGGACACAAGTTTCACGGTCCTCGTAAACCAGTGCTGGCTGCCAGTATCTTTATAATCACAAAAGCAGCCTCTCTATCTACCATCACTTGTGAGGTGGCCAAGGCAGGTTATTATTTACCTACTTCACAGACCTGGAAACCAAGGTCTGGAG